AAAAATACTCACTGCTTGACCAGTGACCTCGAAAGAACGTGAACGCCTCTTCTTGCGGCGAGCTTCAAAGTCCACCTCGCGGGGCGTTTGGTTCTTGGCGGCGACCTGGCGGTTCCGTGGCCGCGTCCAGGTCACATGCAGGCCGGGTCCCTCCCCGGTGCTGGAGGACAGGTTGTCGTCCGAGGTGGCGTGTCTCAGCTCGGGGCTGGGCTGCCTGCCGCGCCGCTTTGGCAAACCTCTAGGGGGGGCCTCGCTCAACGACAGGCTGCTTTTCTGCTTCTTGGGGTCCAGGGGAGACGGGGCGGGGGGTAACCGCAAGGCGTCCACCTCCAGGGCTTTGGAGCGGCGACGGGCTGCTTTTACGACGATGTTCTGGACTCCCTTCAGGATCTGCTGCCGCTCTGTGGAGACAACGGGAGCTCATCGTTACTCTGCTTTATTCAGATTGGGACCCACTTGGACCTGCATGCATGTTCTGCACAGAAAGTTTGCCCAAGTGTTCTCTGGGCACAAATGTCACCTCAGCTGTGTGGAAATGATGATTAGATCTATAACTGATGATGAATTTGTAATTTAAATCAAATATAAAGGAAATATGGCAAAATATCTGCTGGTTCTCGTTTATCAAAGTCCTGTTATCAGACAGTCTGGGTCTGTTACGGCCCCCGGTGCTTCTGTGCCGTCTTGTTGTTGTGGACTTTTGTGACCATTGTATGTGAAGTTGGGCCCAGTTCTGTCTGGCTGAGAGCTCGTTCCAGAACACCAGCTGCCAGTCGTCTCAGCTCGTTAGCCTGGAGCTGAAGACCTGAGCTCCGGGCCCTGATTGGTCCACCTTCCTCTAATCAACCGCCACTGTCATCACACCTGGAATATAAAACCTCGACTAAACTCTCAGTCGGGGTTTAGGGGATTCAGGGTGAACACTTCATCCTGGTGTCTCTTGTTTTTGTGTCTTGGGGTTTTCTGTGGCTGCTGCTGGTCTAGTGTAGAAGTGACTTGGTGAAGACTGTAGCTTCAGTTAGCAGCAGTTCAACTTAACTTAAGAGTTACTCGTATCTTGTGTTTTCTGTAATGTGTTCTGAGGCACTCTTTGTTTGGTTTCCTTTTTAAATGTGGGTGTTTGGCTCTGGAGTTCAGTAGTTCTGTAACTCTGTTCGCTGTCATTGAGTTTTAGTTGGTTCTTTGATTCAAGAACATCCACCAGCCCTGTTTTCTTTATCACTGCTTTTTTGGGGGGTTTTAATTACATCTATTGCTTTACCTCCTGGTTTCTGTTACACCCAGCTGACCCTAGAGGCTGGATGGTAACAGGGCCCAAAATACATCAGATATATTTGTACAAGCCTGGCAGGCCCCTCAGACTGTGGGAAGTGGTCTGCTACTTTAAATTAAACATGGTGAAATGGCTTTTGTGCCACTTTTATGTATTCTATAAATTCTGGTCTAAAACTTTCTGCACTATTAATTGTATAGTTTATTTTCTGTTCCTTAAATTTACATTTTTTTTTACGCATTTTCCCCCTTTTTGTACATTTTAAGGCTCTATGTAAAGCTTTCTGCATTGCTTCTATGTATGAAACGTGCTGCACAACTCTGCCTTGCCTATATACCAGTAAAATAATACAAACAACTTGCAGACTTTCCCTGTGGCCTGTGAGAGACTGCAGTGTACAGATTGTGCAGTCCTCAAACTCAAGGCTCTACTTACAGATGATGCACCTCCAGTTATCTTTTACTTCACTGCACAAAGATTCTCTGATCTTCCACAAAGCGATTATGCACTAATTCGAAAATCATACCATTTCGTGAAATCGGGATATCGGCTCCGGCCTCGCTGCTCTCAGGTGATGAGTCCAGGTGGCTGCTGACGCTGTGGCTCAGATGGCTGTAGCTCAGAGAGCTCTCAGGAACCAGAGGCTGCAGCTGCAGAAACCACATGCAGCGTTTTAACAGACATTCACAGCAGCTTTTAGTGAGCACCAGCTTAATCAATTCACAACACTTCATCGTGCCTGTGAGTCACACATCGAA